TGCATATGGCTAAGGTTCAATGCCCCTTGAGTGAGCTTGAATCTGACTTCGCCATGTCTCCATTTTCCTTAAGGTGATAATTTAGGAATCAACTGATCAATGTCAAATACAGGATCTTACTGTTCTGCCTTTTCTCAGCGACTTAAAAAAGATTAAAAACAATTTTTGACTTTCATCATGTTTTCTGTAGAACCATCTGCTACTGCATCTCTTTCATTACATCTCCTGTCACATAAGACATATCCACCTAAGGCTTTCTGTTCAGCTAGATTTGAGTGTCTCCCATTCAAATACAACTTGCCACTGAACATTGGATGTTAAGTCATTCTCTGTTTAAAGTAATTTCCAGGAACACTGCTGTACCAACATTTAAAATAAGAAATGTAGGGCTGGGGATTTAGCTCAATGGTTCCGCCGCCTGCCTCGCAAGCACAAGGACCCAAATTTGATCCCCAGTACCAAAAAATAAAAATAAACAAAATAAAATAAGAAATGTATTATTTGCAGCCATTTCCTACAGTACTGAATTATGCAAAAGTGTATATGCATAGAAAATAAAAGTGAAGAGTACTCATAACATTTAGATGGCTGGTGTATTTTATTTTTAATAACTTCTCAGCCTACATGAAAATATTTCTCTCTCTGTTAATCACCAAATATCTGCCTTTTATGTATTACTTTAATATTCTCTCATAAACTTGTTCCTTAGTTTTGTCTACTGTTTATATGAAACGTTAAATTTTAAATAATGATACTGTACTTGAAATAAAATTAATATTTTCATAGGGGTTAAATGCGTTCATATATAGTCCACCCAATCTTGGACCGTTTTCAAGGACCCTCTTATGATTTCCAAACCAAAGCCTTTAACAAGTTGTAGTACAATGTTTTCGCCTAATTTGAATAAAACTAGAGTCGCAGATGACAGAGCGCCTCTTTCATCTTTTGTAGGAAGGTCGCCCAGCCCAGAGCGAGCGCCACGCTCATTCTGGAACTAAACACGTTTGGCCGCGCCGTCTGTTGAGTTCTTCGCTGCACTACTCACACCTGGGTGGCCAAGGGTCACGTCCGAGCTCCCGAAGGCGCCAGCACCTCTGCCCTCTTCTCCTTGGGGAGGCGGCAGATGGCGAGGGCGCGGCAGGACCTTAACTAGCACCGGTTTGGTTGCGGCTCCCCGGGTCACCCGCTAGACACCGCGGCTCTTTCCGCCTCTGCCCTCCAGAACTTCAGAACGGTCTTCCTAGATACTGTGAGGCTACCACGCGTTCGCCCCTACCCAGAATCCGGAAACCTGGGTTCTCCGGGAGCGTTTAACCGGGTCTCGGGAGTGCAGCGCGCACCGAAAGCAGCTACCACGCTAGCCCCAGCGGGCGCCAAGGCACACGCTGCGACGCCGTCTCCGCACTCTCGCGCCGCGCCAGCGCAGAGCTTCGCGCCGGCCAGTCGCACCAATAACAACACAGGCTCCCAGGGCTGAGCCAATAGGAGCACACATAGTGTTGAGACTTAGAACATCGCAGCCTTCATCACTCAGGACCCACCCTTCCCGCAATGCCGGCTTTAATTTCTCCAGCTCCTAAGACCTGCGGTTGTAACTTCTTACCTTCCCTCAGAGACACTTTTCCTAGAGTAGTTAAAGTCTTGCAGAAGTGCACTACTTGCTGGATTCTGGCTCTCTGCTCTGTTCAGGAAGGTAGGTGCAAACGTTTTCAACTCGATTGCAAGCTTGTACGTAAGCTTGACCCTCACTGTCCAGCCAAGCATTTCAAAATGTAGTGAGGGAAGAGGAAACCTTCTTCTTCCCATTCCATTAACCATTATAAACCATTTGTACCGGTATCCGAGCTTAAAATGGAAAGAGAACCTGATAAGGGAGTCTGAAGACGTTTCTCCTTAACACGCTTGGAAGGCCTGTGTTTACTGACTGATCGAATTTGGGCAAGGGTGAGAAGTGAATCTAAAGATGAGCAAATGCCCCGCAGAAGAATTTTAATGCTTATAAAAGGGCTTCAATCGTCATCTCCTTATGTTGCAATGAAAGCAGAAAGGGAAGCTACTTATTTTATTTCAGTTTACTATGGAGGTGTGGTTTTTAAAAAGCAGTTTACGCGCATCAACTTAATTTTCACAACCAACCTATTGCTTATTTCACTGTTTAACAAATAATGAAATTGAGGCAATAGGGAGACTGGCTCAAAATGCCAAGGCAGTAAGTGCCAGAGGCAAAATTAAAATCCAGAGAAATCTGATATATTTAAATTACCAAAACATTTAATGCCCAAATTAAATAGGTCCGAAGAATCTAAAGTATTTCACTTCTTTAAAAAACCATGAATCTTCTTTTTTAAAAATGTTTTAGTATCAAATATTCAGTTAAAATCTCGGAAATTTCCAGTATCTTCCGCATTGCCCTCAGAGTTAGTTATGATCACCAAGATAAGAAGGACTAGGTGAAAGGGAGCAGAGAGAACGGGACCAAAGACTGAAAGAAGTAATCTGAGGAACACTAATTCAACAGAGCCAGTTAAAATAACATTACTGCTATTAATCATACATCACTGATTTGACTTTGCCATGGCACCTAGTTAATTGTCGTATATATTTAATATGACAAATGCATTTACAAGAACAAATATAGGGGTTAGCGGAAGTAATCTATGGAGAATTACAAGCAACCTGTTATTAAAAGCCTTTGAAATCTTCAGGCATGGTGGCACACATCTGTAATTCCAACACTGAGGCTGAGGAAGAAGGAGCACCAAGAATTTGAGGCCACCTTGTACTACATAGTGAGATCCTGTCTCAAAAACAAAAATAAATAAAGAAGTAAATCTTTGCTCTGTTTTCAGTGTTTATATTGGCATCTATTCTGTTAGTGGATACCAGGTTATAAAGAAACAGGACGCTGAGGATTTTGTTAGTTTTATTAAATTCTTTATCAATTCTCAACATGTTCCTTTGACCAAGCTCTTTTGTGTGTGTGTGTGTGTGTGTGTGTGTGTGTGTGTGTGTGTGTGCTGGGGATCAAAGTCAAGGTCCCTGCACTTGCGAGGCAGGTGGTGGAACCACTGAGCTAAATCCCCAGCCCCTGACACAGCTATTTTTAATGTGCTTCTTTATGGGGTACTTTCATGAAAAACAAGAGTTGTTGGGGTTAGTATTGAGCTGGGAAATGGGATGGGGACGTCAATACTTTATAGCTGACAGGACTTTTTTGGGAGGCCTTTCTCACTTTCCCCAAGAATTAATTTCAGAAACAATTTTCTAATATCCCATTACAAGCATAGATTTGATTGCAAGTAATTGCAAAGGGCAGGGCTGTGGATACTAAGTAGATGATGAGAAGCTCTGAATTCTTGAAGCCCGGAATTAGGAAACAGATGCCTGAATTCACTTCCAGTCCTGGGTAGCAAGAACATCCCTGAACCACAGCCTTCTTTTTCCCAGAAAATAGAACTACAAATAGCATAAGAATCTGGCAGAGAGTAGCTGCTCACTCAGTGGTAGTATGTTTATCACCATATTTACATGTGATGTAACCCACACACTTTCCCCATTTAGGCTTTTTTAATTTTTAAGCTTTTTTATATAAAACAAAATAGTTTATTGTCAGCAGACACTATGAACCTGCACTTCCTAACCCAAGTCTTCTTGGTAGAAGAAATTATTTTTCAAACAGCCACCAATAAAAATCAGATGCCTTTCTCCGACTCGGGGTCTGCTGTGATGTACCAGAAAAATAGAGCTTGCGGCGGGCTGGGGATTTAGCTCAGAGGTTCAGTGGCCTGCCTTGCAAGCACGAGGACCCAAGTTCAATCCCCTGTATCAAAAAAAGAAAAAAGAAAAAAGGGCTTGCCAACCTTGGGGTGACTGAGGCAGGGTTTCCAATAGGGAAACAGCAGGAGAGATTTTCAAAGCATTCAGAATTCAGAAGTACAGGACATACTTAACTGAGTTCATCAGAATCCTATACAGACATGTGAGTGAGCTTGCTGAGTCACTGAGCCAACCTCTAAGAAAACTGTTGCTCACCTGGGCTCTTGAGTTACCTACTCTGAGCTGAGGGCCTGACTAAAACCATTTCTACAGTGAAATCTTCTCCAGAGTGTATATAGGGAGGAGGGAGAGTGCCCTACAATTTTAGTCCACAAAATTATATTCTGTATATCTTTCCATTAACTAGAATTAATTTTTTTAAAAACAGTAAATAGTCATTTCTTCTAACTTTGCTGTTCTGATCATGGGCCTCCCAGTGACCTTGAAGAATGTTTCTCTTCTGTTAAATGGGACTAATACTCTACAAGATTGTTAGAAGTACATGGGAGAGGGGCTTAGGTAAAGCATGTAGATCAGCACCTCCACAAAACATCCTTTAGTGTTTGTCCAATAAATACTAAACTGTATGGATCATAAACACTGAGTGAGTTTCTCTTTTGCCCCCCAAGGAAAGTTCTGTCAAAATGAAATTCAATAAGAAATAGTGATTCTACAATTCCATAATTCTTTCTGACAAGGGATTGCAAAAGTTTATCTTTTCCCTTGAAGGTCCTTAGCTAATTTCAGTAAGATTGAGAACAGCATGATTAATGATGTTTTCAGAAATCAGTTGTTTTGCCCATGGAGAACCTGTGAAATGTATTTTTAAAATTGTGTATTTCCACCTGGCATGATGGCACACGTCTGTAATCCCAGCATTCAGCACTTGGGAGGCTGAGGCAGGAGAATTGCTGTGAGTTCAAGACCAGCCTGGGCTACACAGTGAGTTCCAGGGCAGTCTGAACTACATAGTGAGACCTTGTCACAAAAAAAAAACACACAAATAAATAAATGTAAAAATAAAATGGTGTATTTCCCACTCATAACACCAATTAACATTTATTCTAAGAATAATCAAAGTATTCAAGTGACCTGTGCTTTATTTTATTGTGAAGTTTCTTCAAACTTTTTTAAAAGTTGTTTTCCAATTAAACTACTTTTTTAAAGGATCTGAAATTGCTAAGTGAACAAACTCATTTGCATTTTTATTTTTCTTAAAGATTGCACAAACTGGAACCAAGACCAGAATACTGTATCCACTGTACATTATTCCTTATAAAACAACATACACATGTGTGCTCTACCAAATAGGATATTTTCTTTAAAATTATATATTGCGTGCTCTTAGATTCATGCTTTAGATATTTTACATTTATCATTATTCTTTCATAAATAATTGCAACTTGACCAATTTGTACACCTGCTACCACTGTGTATTCAATGTGGCAAGTAGTCTTTGACATGAGAAAGAGTGAAATAGAAACATGTGTATTGATGTCACATGACTGAATTGTGAGTAGTGTTTCGCCTATACAGTGAAATGCTAATGTAAAAGTCACACAAAACCTCGTTTCAAAAGGCACAATTTCCTTCACAGAAAAGTACAATTTAAAAATAGATGGCAGTTAAAGTCGGGGTCCTCGAGGACAGTGTGATGTTGGTATTAATGTAATTCTGAACGCCAGAGGGGACCGCTCCGGCCTTTAGGCGAGGTGGGGGAGCTATCCAAGAGACCCACCACCTGTGCTGCCCAGTGGCCGAATTTCTGTAAACTATTTCTGAACCCCTCCCTACTGAATTTCAGCTCGGTTTTCATCACCAAGTCTTTCTTCTCATCCCCAGATTACCTCTTCTCCCAGAACGGACCCCACATACACTCCTTCCTACTCTGTCCGCGCCCCAGAAAGACCTGTTACAAGTTGTGATCACGGCCGCCCCCGGCCTCCACGTCGCTCTGGTCGTCAGTGAAACAGACGTCCACATCGCTGTCCTCGCTCTTGGAATCCCTAGGCTCCAGGGGATAGCCCGGCTCGGTGCCCGGGCCGTCATCTGCCTTAGCTAGCAGGCTCTGGCCGGGGTGGCGGGACTTGACGTGGCGCTCCAGGTCCCTTCTTCGCACAAGTACCTTGCCGCAGAACTCGCAGCGGTAGGGCGTGTTGCCCTCGGCGTGCAGTCGGATATGCTTGTTGAGATTGCTGGGGTCGCCAAAGGGCCTCAGGCACACTTTGCACTTGAGTGGCTTGTAGCCTGTGTGCGTCCGCATGTGAATCTTGAGCCCATACTTGCGCGAGTACAGCTTGCCGCAGTAGAGGCACAGGTGGCCCGTCTTGGGCTTGCTCGTGCCGCC